CAATACCGGACGCGCCAGTCATGACTTGTACCTTCCAGGACCTGCCGTCGGCCGGCGTGGCTAGAACCGCTAGGCTCCCCGAGCTGTGCTGCACGCCTGGGAGCGCCCGTGCGAAGCCGGAGACGCAGGGCGTGCCCGGGCCGTGCGAGCCCGTCGGTGACCAGACATTCCCGCCCAGACACGAGTCGTGCAAGTCCTGAGAGATCGACGTGCAATGGGCTCTCTAATCTAGTTGTTGCTGCTTGTATGTGCTCATGTATGTTTCTTCTACACGAGTTTCAACTTCAGTTGAACTCAAAACAGGTACCTAAATCGGGTGCAAATACGTGCTAGAAAACTCAAATTCAATTGGAGTAATTAATGGTAACGAGTATGTTTATTGTAGGATTTTCTGAGGGACTCCTCACTTGTATCTTAGCAGCATAAAAGTCTACTATAATCCAGTGTATTTACTTCATTTGTTCTGAGAAAACAGCCCTTTGTTTATTTAATAATAATAGATGTTGTACAAAGGCATCCATTGACAAGAAAAGGTATTTATGATATATTCTTTTTTAAAATATTTTTATTGATTTCAGAGAGGAAGAGAGAGAGAGAGAGAAACGTCAATGATGAGAGGGCATCATTAATCAGCTGCCTCCTGCACGCCTTCTACTGGGGATGGAGCCTGTAACTGGGCATGTGCCCTGACCAGGAATTGAACTGGCGACCCTTTGGTGCACGAGATGGTGCTCGACCAACTGAACCACACTGGCCAGGGCTCAGGGACCTTGTCTTATCAGCTGTTCTTTCTCTCTCCCTTCTTGATGTTTCCATCAGCCTCAGTCCCATCTTTTAAAAACACCCTAAAATCTAAACTCTCCTTTAATTCTTTGTTCCTTTCCCTTCCCTACCAAGCTCCTTGAACCAATAATTGACTTTCAGGGCCTCTGCCTTCTTGCTGCCTTTTCAGCACTGGATGCATCAGGTGTCGACACTCCTGGCAAGCTTCTTCTAGTGTCAACAGTGACTACTAGTTAAACCTAACGAGCACTGAAAATTCATTCGTTTGACCCAGCATTTGATCATTTCATCTCTTGGACTCAAAGGCACCATTTTATCTTCATTTTTCTCCAAAACTCTAATAGCAACCTCCTCTCTGGGGGCTCCTCCTTCCATGCCGGCCCCTCTCCCAGGGTATAGTCTCCCGGGAGTTACATATGTATATCATATGCTGAAGCCTTCCTGGCTTCTGTCTCTGGCCTTCACCTCTCCTGGCCCCCCAGGCTACATGTGTGACGCTAGCCAGGTATTTCCTCAGATGGGCACTGCAATTGCAGTGTGTCTGTGACCCAGAATTATTGTAGGATTCCTGGTGATGCCTCTGGTTCTATCCTCTTTTCCATCCTCCCATGACCTCTGCCTCAGTTCATGCCTTCACTGCCTCTTGCCTGGACCACTATGTTCTCTCTTAACTGGTTTCCCTGCTTCCAGTTCCTCCCAGAACAAATTTATTCTCCAAAATAGATTTTCTAAAACAGATTGGATCATGTCACTACTCGTGCCTAAAAGCTCTGGCTCAGTGGTTAGAGCGTTGGCCCGGGCCCTAATGGGTCCCAGGTTTGATTCCCAGTCAAGGGCACCTATCTGGGTTGTGGGTTTGCTCTCTGCCCTGGTTGGGGGGGGGGGGGGACCATACATGCGGGAGGCAACCCATTGATGTGTCTCTCACATTGAGGTTTTCCCTCTCCCTCCCTCCCTCCTACTTTCTCTGAAAAGCAATGAGGGAAAATATCCTCAGGTGAGGATCAGCAACAACAAATTCTCACATGGTTTCCCATCATTTTCTAGAAAACGCCTATAACACAGAGCAGACAGGCTTTTGTCCCCCAACCCCCTTGCTGCCACTGCCCTCCAGGACTTGTGGACCAGCCAGGCCAGTCACTTGCTGACCGCAGTCCTGGGCGGCTTCCCCCCAGCCTGGGTGCCTCCGCAGGGCGACTTCTCAGGTACTTGACACTGAGGTACCTGCTACAGAATAGTGTAACCACTACTATTCACAGCTTTTTTTAAATTTAAAAATGTCACACATACAGAAATGAAAGAGTACTATGATGAATACCCGGATACTGTGCGCCTAGAGTCAATAAGGCACAACATTAGCATGGCTTCCCCCCAGCCTGGGTGCCTCCGCAGGGCGACTTCTCAGGTACTTGACACTGAGGTACCTGCTACAGAATAGTGTAACCACTACTATTCACAGCTTTTTTTAAATTTAAAAATGTCACACATACAGAAATGAAAGAGTACTATGATGAATACCCGGATACTGTGCGCCTAGAGTCAATAAGGCACAACATTAGCATAATCCTTCACTTCTCTCTCACACACCTTTTATTCTCTTCATTAACAATTCCTTTAAGTTCTTCTTTCAGAATATACCCAGTATCCAAATACCCCTCGCCACCTCCTCTGCTATGGCCCCCGATCCAAGCCCGGTCAGAGATGAGCCTCCTCAAGGCCGCCTGCTCTCTCCTGGCTCCCTACAGTCTGTTCTCACCCGGACACCAGCATGGTTCCCCTCTCCTGCAGAGGAGAGCTGATGTCCTCCGTGACAGTCAGCCTGGCTACCACCGCCTCCTGCTCCCCTCACTGCCCTGGCCTCCAAGGCCTCCCCGTGGTTTCTGACAGAACAGGCACCGACCAGCCAGGGCTTCTGCATGTCATCCTCTGCATGGAAGGCCCCGCACCTCCCAGGGAAACCCTCCCTCACTCACCTCATCAAAGCTGTGAACTACTCCGCCTCCCCCGCCCCTCTAGCCTCTTTCCAGGTTTATTTCTCTCCAGAGCACGGCCGTTATCACCACTTGATACACTGTGTATCTTTCACTTCTTTATCTGTGTTACCGTCTCTGAGCTCCGCAAGCACAGGGACTCCCAGTTGAGCCTCACGCCCTGGGACGGGCTCCTGGCACAGCGCAGGGCGGAACCGATTTCTGCGGAGAGGGAGCCTGGGAGCCTGGGAGCCGGGAGAGAAAAGCCCGCCCACACACCACCCCGGGCCACGCCTACACCCACAGGCCACGCCCACG